TGCTGCTGCTGCTGCTGCTGCTGATGCTGATGCTGATGATGATCAGAAATCAGTTGCTGGTAGTGGTGGTGGTGATGAGAAAGAGCCCAGTACATCAGCTGAAGCCCCAGCAAGCAGTCCAAATACGGCACCAGAAAGTAGTTTGCATGCTGAGCCAGCAAAGAGTTCAGATGCTGCTGAAGCAAGCAGTCCAAATGGCGCAGCAGCAAGAAGTCTTAATGGTGCAGCAGCAAGCAGTCCTGCTGCGCTTGAGGACAGTTCGAGTGTCGGACCTGAAACCACTGAGTCGCTGCCGCCTGCTACAGAGCCTGCTGAGGCTGTTATATGAACTTTTTATACCCGAATGTTTCATTTTTGTAACTCTTCGAGTCTGTTGAGATGTATCTTGTTTCGGTGTAAATTTTTGTTGTTTCTTGTATTTATTGATAAACAGCTCTAGCAGTTGATTGTATGACTTGGGTTCATTTTTCTTGACTATTGTATACTAGTGTTGCCACATATTCTTTATTTTGTATGTGTGATAAGAAGGATAATTTTTTCAAACAAGATTTTTTTTTTAAAAAAAAAATAAGCAAAATAGATTGTTCTGCTAAATAATTAGCAAAAGTGGTCTTTTTTTTGGCCATTTTATCAACGCATGCGGAAAAAAAGATTGATTTTGTAAAATATTGATGTAAAAATATCCAGACAAATAGTCACGTGTAATTAGTGAACTAATTAGTGAACGCTGATGGTTTGTTTAAGCCCTACTATGCATGGGCTATCAGTGCCGTGTATTTTGTAGAACTTCCAGCAAAAACACCTGAGCATGCACGTCCTTGCTTCCATTTTTATGTCAAGTGTGCTCCTCGGAAACGGTTTAAAAAGATTCTCGATGCATACCTGAGCACATTTCGGACATGCGGCATTAAAATAAAAAAAAAAATCCCTCCATCGCAAATATTTATAAAAGGGGTCACTTGTTGAGTACCTTGTGGCACTTGCTGACAGCATAACTAGGACGGGCCACTTGTTGACGGCATGAGACCATCTCCAACCGAGCGGCATTTTGAGGTAAAAAGGGGTTTTGCCGCTGCGTGAGGTCTCCAACCCAGCGCCATTTTGGGCGCCATTTTAGCGGTGATGAACAGCGCGACGCCATATTTGGCGTCGCACTGTTTATCACCGCATTACTGTTTATTTATTTATTTTTTAATTTTTTTATTTTTACCTCATACTTTTATGTATTTACAATTTGACCCCAATTGTTTTATTAAATGTATAAAACAACCCCAATAATATTTAAATTTTATAATTTTGCTCCAATTGTATAATTTGGACAAAATAAATTATTTTTTAAAAATAAAAATAATGCTAAAATTTAAAAGACATTATTATTAATTATAATATTAAAATCTAGACATTAAGTAAAGTCCCATGAAATATAAAGAGCAATCCTAATACATAATTTAAGTATAAATTACATATCTGAAATACATAACATATAAAAACTGACACGCATAATATAAAACTTCATTAAAATAAAACATAAAATACAAACTAAACATGGAACATTTCCTGAGATGGACAAGCAACTCTTAATAATCTGGTAGATCGGGGCCAGAGTGTCCAATATCATTGAAATAATTGCCAAAATTAGAAGCAGACCCTTGTTCTTGTTGATTTCTTTTTTGTATTATTTTAATCTGTTGAGCTCGAACGTACTCACGCACGTTTGGATCAGCAATGGAATTCAAATCTTTCATTATAATTTTCCATTCATCTCTATCTTTTTTCATAGCTATCTTTTCTCGTTCGATATCAAATGCTACTTGCCTGTCCAAGCTCGCCTTGTCTAACCTGTCTATAAGTTGATTGTTGGAGGTCTCGATGGAGTCCACTACACTTGACTCATGATCATAATTTTTCCTTTTCAATTTGGCTTTTTTTACCCCAATAGGTCGTTCAGATGGAGTAAATGATGACAGTCCAGGAGATGTTGATATAGGAGATTCCGGAGTGGGATTATCTGATTGTGACGAGTCGAAGTTCACACTTTGGGGTTGTCTTCGACCAACTTGTCTTGCTGTGGGGACATCATCTTTAAATTTTTCGAAATTTTTAACCATATTTCAGACATGATCAAATTTGAAACCTTTTTTGTATTTTGGTTCTTGCATAAATAACATCTTTGTTCGAACTAACTGCAAATTGTAATGAATATCAAGTTATGTTTTTCAACAATAATAATAAATTTCAAACGATAATTAATAGAATACTTACAATATCTTCATCTGAAGCACCACTTGGATTCAGATTCTCTACTTGTCTCAAGCACGCATTCAATTTCCTTACTTCATTACTTATGATTTCCATTCGAGAACGAATTGATCGGCTCGTACGCACATCAGAATTTTGGTCTCGAAGTTCATTGTATCTGTCCTCCACACGAGACCAAAATGCATCTCGAGACTGGTTTCTACCGATAATAGGGTCTTGAGAAATATCCAAGAATACTTGACAAAGGAGCACATCTTCAGTAACCGTGTATCCAGATGATCGAACATACATTTTTTTTTTGTAAAAAGCGGTTGGTTTGGAGATTAGAAATACTTTGAAGAAATACTTTGAAGAAATACTTCGAATTGGGTGGTTTGAAGTAGAAACCGTGAATGTTATTTATAGCCGAAGAAATACTTCGAATTGGGTGGTTTGAAGTAGAAACCGTGAATGTTATTTATAGCCAATCCAAATTTTTTTTTTGTTTGAATTTGAATTTGTCGGTGGTCAACATTTGAAATTGAATCGTTGTGGACAAACTGATCAGCTTTACACATTGTCCAATATTATCGGTGAGAATCATTTTTTAAAAACTGATCAGCTTTATACATTGTCCAACGTATACACAGCTTAACTTTCCTTGAATTGTGTGAAAGCTTTGTACGAGTGGGAATCATTTTTTAAAAACTGATCAGTTTTACACATTGTCCAACGTATACACAGCTCAGCTTTCCTTGAATTGTGTGAAAGCTTTGTACGAGTGGGAATCATTTTTTAAAAACTGATCAGCTTTACACATTGTCCAACATATACACAGCTCAGCTTTCTTTGAATTGTGTGAAAGCTTTGTATCGGTGGGAATCATTTTTTGAAAACTGATCAGCTTTACATATTGTCCAACGTATACACAACTCAGCTTTCCTTGAATTGTGTGAAAGCTTTGTATGAGTAGGAATCATTTTTTTGAAAACTGGACAGCTTTACACATTGTCCAATGTATACACAGCTCAGCTTTCCTTGAATTGTGTGAAAGCTTTGTACGAGTGGGAATCATTTTTTAAAAATTGGTCAACTTTACACATTGTCCAACGTATACACAGCTCAGCAAAGTTTTATAAATATCATACTAGATTAGGTACATCCACACAATTATTCGTTGTTGTGTTAAAATTATTATTCTCCATTTCTGCATACCTCAGTCATTCTTTTCTTACTCCAAAAATGAATTTCGATGTTGGAGGTCCATCATATTTATCATCATCTTCATCTTCGGATGATGATAATTTTCTGACCAATATCATTGCAGAGATTAATGAAACCGAAGAAGTAATTTGTGAGTACATCAACAACAACATGATCATCGCTAACAATTTACGTCAACAAAACTACCAACCAATCCATGGTGGCTCGATTCCCGGTCATGCAGTGATCAACCGCGATCGAGAAACTGCGCATCAGAATTTGGTCATAGATTACTTTGTCGATAATCCACGTTTTGGAGAAGATATGTTTCGTCGTCGATATCGGATGTCAAGAAGTTTGTTCATTCGTATTGTTGATGCAGTGAAAGATCACGACCATTACTTCCAACAACGAAGTGATAGACTTGGTAGAATGGGATTATCACCGTTACAGAAAGTAACAGCTGTTTTTCGCATGTTGGCATACGGTCTACCAGCTGATGCAACGGACGAATACATTAAAATAGGTGAGTCAACAGCAATTGAAAGTATGACAAGATTTTGTCGTGCTATGGTGGAGATATTCACAGAATGGTATCTACGAACACCTAACGCTAACGATATTGCTAGGCTACTCTATATTGGTAAAAAACATGGTTTTCCAGGAATATTAGGAAGTCTTGATTGTATGCATTGGAAATAGAAAAATTGTCCAACAACATGGTCTGGGCAATACACAGGACGTAGTGGGTCACCAACTATTATCCTTGAAGCTGTGGCAGATTATGATCTTTGGATATGGCATGCATATTTTGGTATGCCAGGCACCAATAATGATATCAATGTGTTGGAGTCATCTAATCTTTTCTCTAACCTAGCTCAAGGTATTGCTCCTCCCGCTCACTATGTTATTCAAGGAAAAGAGTATAATATGAGTTATTATTTAGCTGATGGTATATATCCAAAATGGGCTACTATTGTACAAACAATCCAACAGCCACAAGGTAGGAAGAAAAAAATATTTTGCCATAAAATATGAAGCATGTAGAAAAGATGTACAACGTGCGTTCGGAATTCTCCAATCACGATTTGCAATTGTGGCAGGATCACCACGTTTTTGGAAAAAACATGTATTACATGACATAATGATTGTATACATTATTATGCACAATATGATAATCGAGGATGAACGTGATCTTTATGCACCAATTCAAGAAGTGAGGGAAGCACCAACACCAGAAGTTGATATGGTAGCAGATGAAACTACAAGATTTACTCAATTTATTGCACGTTACGGAAAAATCAAGGATAAAGATGCCCATATTGCGCTTCGTAATGCATTGATAGATCATCTATGGGAGGAATACACTAATTCAGATAGTTAAGTGCATACTAAATTTGTAATTTTCACATTGTTGTTAATGTTTAATTATTTTTCTTGTATTTTATTTTCTGTTGTGTTCTTGAATGTAATATTTTGGCAATATCAATAATAAAAATATAATATTTTACGAATCAAGTTATTTTAATTAATAAAATAATATTTTATTGTTTTATTAGTTTAACTTTTTTAAATAATAAATCATTTTGTTTGGAAAATATGTGAAAAAATAAAATTTGATATGTGGGGTTAATTGTTGAAATAGTTAAAAATATAGGGAATAAAAAATAATAATATAAAAGTAGATAAAAAGAAAGATACTGAGAATATTCCTTTTTGGTGCAAAAAATGGTGCAGTGGGTTGGAGATGAATTACTGTTAGATGTGACTTTTGCGGTGCAAAAAATGGTGCAGTGGGTTGGAGATGAATTACTGTTAGATGTGACTTTTGTACCATTTTGGTGTAAAATCTGCACCATTTTGGTGCGATGGGTTGGAGATGCCCTGACTAAGAAGCGTCCGTGATGACTTGATGAGAGATCTGGCCATGCCGGTGGCCAAGCTAGAATCAGGATTGGGTCCTGATATCTTCAACAAGAATACGGAGAGGAGAAATGCGGGATCGTTGGCCTTGGGCGGGGGCAACACCAAGGAATCACCAATGAGAACCGAGAAGGGAAAGGCCAATGCAGCGATGGAGTTTGGGATCGAGCCTCCATAGTCAGCTGAAGGCAGTGATGGCGGCGGC